CAAAAATTTGATCACACAGATGGATAGTTTAGAAGACACACTTTCATGACAACCTAGCTAAGTCTCCAAGCCAAAATCCATGTTTGTTAGCTCTGCTCCTAACTAAGAACACATCCTGGAGTTGCTTCAAAGCTTCCTCCAAGAACAATACACCTCTTACCTACAGGCATTGAGGTGAACTTGGTAACCTTCGCACAACCCGGGAGGTTTACCTTGACAAACCCCTTGACTTTTACATATTGAGTCGTGTTTCATCTAGGTTGAAAACCCTTCTATTTATAACCTGTTACCCAACTGGTTTTTGGGCCTTCAATCACAGTAAATCAGCTATAACAAACTGCAGAAACTTCTGCCTCAAGAAAGGTCTTCAATCTTTACTTTCCTAAATAATCTCCTTTATTTAGAAAGTATGCATTCTCCTTGATTTCATATTGTATTTTCTGGACCTTTAAATATGTTCCATGATACATAATATTCTCCTGAATATTCTACCAATGTTGAGAACAAACTGAATTTCATTAATCCAGCTCAGCAGGCGCGATGTCAAAACATCTTCTTCGACATGTTGTTCCAGTTGTTGAAAAAGTTTAACACAACATGTTCTGACATTGTAATAGGACTTCTTATTGTATCTGTTCTTCATTGTTGTTGCTATTTGTTTTACAAAAATTAAGCCAATGCTAAAATAAGAGAACTAACAATGAAGATGAATCCATCTTTGACTTCAACATAAGAATGTGTGACATTTCCAACACATCTTTTTCCTTAGGAGAAAAGATGTCTGAAGAAAAGCTAGTCAGGAAAATTCTTATATATCTACCTAAGAATTTTGATATGAATGTTACAGCTATTGAAGAAGCCCCAAGACCTAAGTGGAATCAAAGTTTATGAACTCATTGGTTCTCTATAAACCTTTGAGTTGGCTATAAGTGACAAGTTAGAAAACAAGAAAAAAATATAGCTTTTGTATCGAACATTAAAGAGGTTGAAGATCAAGGTGAAAGAAAAGAGAGTCTATTAGATTCCATAGCTCTTGTTGGTAGAAAGTTTAACAAAGCATTGAAGAAACTTGATAGAAAATGAATGGAAAATGTCAAAGACATTATGCCAGACATTGGCCCCTCAAAGTAAGAGCAAATATAGAGACAATCTAAACAAGGGCAAATGAGCACAGTGTTATGATTGTGAAGGGTTTGGTCACATTAAAGTTGAACGTACTACTTTTCTAAAGAAATAGAAAAAGGGAGTTTCAATCACTTGGTCTGATTCTGATGATAAGAGGGAAGGAAAAACTGCTAACAATGTGATGGCCTTTACTGGAAAGTATGAATCTGGGAGTGAGTCTAGTGATGAAGATATCTTTAAATAAGAACTAGCTATAAGTTACAAACTTTTATAATCCAGTGGGAGGAAGCTTGCATGGTTGGAGAGAAGAAAAACAAAATTATAAGTACTCTAATTCAGGAAAAAGAGAAACTTAGCTCAACCATTGTAGGTCTGGAAGAGGAATTAATTCCAAGCTTGAAAACATGACAAAATTTGTCCGTATGATGAACAATGGCTCTAATATGTTAGATGAAATCTTGGAAGTTAGGGAGAAGTATAGGAATATGAAGAATATAGGGTTAGACTATATTTCCATTAAAAAAAAGATAAAAGTTCCTGCTAAGAATTTTTTTTCTTCTAAGAAGAAGACTGAGTTTCAAATGTTAGACCACGTGTCTCAATATCCCGCTCAACATGTGTATCCTCAAAATAGAGGAAACAAGAACTCATCTTGGAGGTGTCATCATTGTGGAAGATATGTTCATATAATATCATTTTTCTATATATTGTATGGATATCCTCAGTCCTATAGTCAACCAAGCTCAACAAAAAGAAAGGGAAGAAAACTCAAGAAAAAAAGTGTGGAAACACAAGGAAATTGTCATTTGTCTCATAGTTCATACTTCTCTTAGATTTTTCTCAAAAGAAGATTGGTATTTTGATAGTGGATGTTCAAGGCATGTGACTGGAGAAAAGAACTATATTGAAGAGTTAAAGCCCTACTCAAATAGTTATGTCACTTTTGGTGATGGATCTAGAGGAAGAATCAAGGGCATATGTAAACTGGTATGCCCAAGTATCCCTTGTCTTGACGATGTGCTACTGGTAGAAGCACTAACTACTAACTTGATCAGCATTAGACAACTATGTGATCAAGGTATAAATGTAAACTTCAACAATTCAGAATGCATTATCTCCAACAAAGATCAAGAAGTGTTAATGAAGGGTTCAATATCCAAAAACAACTATTATTTATGGGTATCTCAAAATAAAAAGCCAGCCCTCAACATGTTTGATATCCAAGGTTGATAAGACTAAGCTATGGAACTAGAAACTTAGGCTTCTTAACCTCAAAAGTATGGAGAATATCAAATATGAAGATGATATCAAGGGATTGCCAAAGCTCCAAAGAAGGTAAAATATGTGGAGGTTGCCAATTAAGCAAACAGGTCAACATGTCCCACAAGAAGCTCCAACATTTTATCATCTCTAACATTCTGGAGCCATTGTAAGTGGAAAGCATGTATGGAATAAATAAGCCTTATGTGTAAAGACTGATAAAGAATAATTCAATTACGAATTTGTTTTGGGAGGAATGT